ACAAAGGGGCAGGCAAGCACAGGTACTGACGTCAGGTGATGGACAGCAGGCAGATGGGTGGGTTAGTCACATGATTGCGCCATGGTGGGGCTTATTTTTGTTCTGTAGGTCACAAAGGGCCGATTGGTTAACCCTGGGGGAGGGGGGCGGTTTCCTGCAAGAGACTTGTTAGACATTTGCAATTCACAAACTCAGACATTTATAATTTATAAACTCCTTGACCAAAGGTGGTCGTATTATGACTTTGGCCAGCCAGAGGGTGATCTTTGATCTTTGGCCTTGACAAGGAACCTAAAAGTTTACTAGAGTTTATTGTGCTAAACCATGAATTGAAAGGCTGGGCTGTCCTGGTCTTGCAACTGATGGAGATTTTCTGAGGGGGGTATGGGATAGGCTGCCATTTGTCCTGTAGTAGAATGTCTGAATGCTTTCTAATGGTTATGCTGAGGCAAAAAGACTAAATTAAGAATAAGCTAACCAGGCTCGGTGGCTCAGCCTGTAATCCCGTGCCTTTGGGAGGCTGAGGTGAGTGGATTGCCTGAGCCCGCAGGTTTGAGACCCGCCTGGGCAGGCGAGACCTCATCTCTACAATAAATCAAAAAATTAGCCAGGCATGGTAAGCGCGCGCCTGTAATTCTGGCTACTCGGAAGGCTGAGGCGGAAGGATCACCGGAGCCCAGCAGGTCGAAGCTGCGGTGGCCGGGAGCGGCCACTGCACTCCAGTCTGGGTGACAGAGTGAGACTCCAACTCAAAAAAAAAAGAATAAGCTAATTTTTTTCTTCTAGGTTTCTATAGGTACCTTTCAGTGCTGACATGGTCCTCAGGGGGTTAGCTGGCAGCTTGGAGGGATTGGAGGATCTCACAACTATGAGTCAGAACCTGCTGGGATCTGCCCTAGGGCTGGATCAGGAGGTAGCCCCCCACCCCAGTCCTGAGCCGAAGTGGCCTGAGTCTGAAAGAACCTTGGCCACAGAGGTTTCTTCCTGCTCAGTTTCATATCACCTTACACCAGTCCTGATGATCTCGTGTAGATGTCTTGACTTGCTAAATTTATTTTGGGGTTGAGAAGGAAAGAGACTATGTGACAATTCTTTGTGGGGTTTTTTTGAGTTGGAATCTTACTCTGTTGCCCAGGCCTGAGTGCAGTAGTATACTCACGGCCACCCCAGCATTGACCTGCTGGGCTCCGGCCATCCTTCTGCCTCAGCCTTCCAAGTAGCTGGAACTACAGGTATGTGCTACCACACCCAGCTATTTTTTTGGTTTATTGTAGAGATGAGGTCTCACCATGTTACCCAGGCTGATCTCAAACCCGCGGGCTCAGGCAGTCCTCTCGCCTCAGCCTCCCAAAGTGCTGGAATTATAGGCTTGAGTCACCATGCCCGGCCATGACAATTCTTTGAGTGGCTGTGAGAGTTCCCCCAGCTCCTTGTCCAGTGCCAGGGCTGGGACTGGTTGAAAAGATACTCAGTGCAGTCCAGGCACAACCTGGCCCCATGCCATGAACTCTGCAAGAGTTCCAGCTGCTCTGGCATCTTTTAGTTTTCTTCCTTGCTGTTTTGCCCATTGTCCAGTTTCTTCACAACCAAGGAGAAAATAGGAACTAATCCAGCACATAAGAATTCAAGAAATGTTTACCAAAGGTCTGAGAGGGATTGCCTGCACCTGACCCTCTCCACTCAGTCCTGAGCCCAGTAGGGGCCCCAACAGTCAGGCAATGCCTCCTCCTACCCTAGAGAGGGGGATAACTTCCTGTCTTCCTCATGCCTCTCTACTGGTTCCTCTAGCTCCGGCTGGAGTGGAAAGTTCACCTAAACATCCCTGTGATCACCTCTCCAAAGTCAAGGAAATGCAAGTCATCCCAGGCCTTACCCTGGCACATCTGCCCCAGCGGCCCCACCTATAAGCAGCCCTTTCCTTCAAAGCACCGGGAATGTGTGCCCCTGCGGATGGCCCGGTAGGTCTAGAGGATCTGCTGTATAGGTTGGAAGACAGGAGTAGGGGTGGCCAGCCTGGGGAGAGAGGCAGTGACAGGGCCAAGATCACCCCATGTGTTGCAGAGTGCCTGTTTTCTCAGCTGCCCTGCCCAACTCTGGTCCACTGACCCAGAGGTGGGGTGTGTGTGTGTGGTGGTGTGCAGGCTTCAGGGGCTAGCCTGACTTGAGTGTGTTTCAAATCATGCAACGGAAAGACTCTGAGGACCCACAGCTAAAAACTGACAACCATTCCACCCTGAGCATCCATCTGGCATCTGCCATTGGTCCGTCCTATGCACAAGCCTGATCCCTCCCACCACATGACCCCAGGCTCAAAAAGAGACACTATTGGCCTCTGGGCAGTTGAGTAGACCCACATCCATGTCCACCCTTGCATGGCCTGGTTCAGGGGTTCAGCCCTAGCATGGCGTGTGGAAGCACAGACCTTTAGAGCCTCTTCTAGAAGCTCATCAACCAGAAGATAAGGAGGGCAGTGACAAGCTCTATTTGAGAAGGGAAGAAAACAAGGTCCAGAGTCTTGGGCCTGGTGGCTCTGGAGAGCTTGGAGCAGGTTGTATCTCAATCTCTATCTGTCTTTGTCTCCACTCCATCCCTCCCCTCACCTCCCAGCCAACAGGGGAAACAGATGGAGGCCATCTGGAAGACTGATGTGTCCTCCTCCAGTCACCCAATAGAAAGAAAGATCCCTGCCAGTCTACCCTGGGGCCAGCTAGGGGGACACCCGGACATCCCCCGGCTGCTGGAGCTAGATGTGCAGTCCTCCTACCACAAGTCTGCTGTTCCTCAAGCCCGGTAAGCTGCAAGGCCAGCTGGTCCATCTGGGCCAGAAGCTGTCCCTGTCCAGCTACTCAGGAATCTCCTTCCAGACACGAATAATGGCCTCACTTAACTGTACCACACCAGATTACTGCACCACACCAGACAGATGCCAGCCCGACTCATCCACCCAGCGGCTGGCAGCGAGTCCTCAGGCCAACACCACTTTAGTTCCCTCAAAGGACTTCACTTAGGGCTGAGTGCAATGGTTCACGCTGTAATCCCAGCGCTTTAGGAGTCCAAGGTGGGAGGATCACTTGAGGCTAGGAGTTTGAGACCAGCCTGGGTGGCATAGTAAGAGCCCACCTCTACAAAAAAATTTTTTTAAATGGCTAGGTGTGGTGGTATATACCTGTAGTCCCAGCTACTGGGAGGCTGAGGCAGGAGGATCCCTTGAGTCTAGGAGTTCAAGGTTGCAGCAGTGAACTATGATAGCATCGCTGCATTCTAGCCTGGGTGACAGAACAAGACCCTGTCTCTAAAGGAAAATAAAAAAGGACTTAAATGTCTCAGAAGAACACTATAGAAGTTTTCCTTCCACAGCTACATCAGGTGTAGGAATGGAGAGACCAGGAAGACCATCAGTCACATGATAAGCCAGATACTTGGGCCTGGGCCTTTGTCATTTTCATTTCCTCACTGGCTTCAAAAACTCCCTGGAAAGAACAACTGCCGGGAGGAGGCAAGACTCAGGCAGAGAGGTTTTTCTGGTCCAAAAAGGTTTAGCTGCTTTGCCTTTCTTGGTCTGAAGATATCACTACTAAAGACTCAAGACTCTTTCAAGGAGCCTTTCTTTTCTTCTCATTCCCTTCCTTTTTTTTTTTTTTTTCTTTTTCTTTTTTCTTTTAGACAGGGTCTGGGTCTGTCAACCAGGCTTGCGTCACTATAGCTCACCATAGCCTCCAACTCCTGGGCTCAAGTGATCCTCCTGCCTTAGCCTCCCAAATAGCTATAGGCACGCACCACACCTGGCTAATTTTTAAATATTCTTTCAGAGACTAGGTATCACTATGTTGTCCAGACTGGTCTCGAACTCTTCAAGTAATCTAACCACCTTGACCTCCCAAAGTATTGGGATTGCAGGCATGAGCCACCGTGCCTGGCATCAGGGAAACTTTCTACATTATTATTATTATTTTTTTTTTGAGTTGGAGTCTCACTCTGTTGCCCAGACTGGAGTGCAATGGCTGCTCCTGGCCACCGCATCCTCAACCTGCTGGGCTCCGGCGATCCTTCCGCCTCAGCCTTCCAAGCAGCCGGAACTACAGGCATGCACTACTATGCCTGGCTAATTTTTTATTTATTGTAGAGATGAGGTCTCGCCAAGTTGCCCGGGCGGGTCTCGAACCCTCAGGCTCAGGCAATCCACTCACCTCAGCCTCCCAAGGCGTGGGATTACAGGCTGAGCCACTGGCAACTTTCTACATTATTAATCTGCCTTTTGTGGCCCTGCCCCTGCCCCAATTAAAGATCCCCAAGAGGGAAAAGGGTACTGATGCCTGCCAGTCTAGACCCAAACAGAACCAAGAGATGGAAGGTACTAGTGCTACCCTCATCCTCCAGATGGGGACTTATGAAAAACAGGGTGGTATAGCAGCATCAAAGAGAGCCAATCCCTGACTGTGCTTCTGCTCTGAAATGGGCCTAAGGTCTCTCAGCATTCTAGTCCACCTGGGGCAGAAACCTGATTTTCAATTCCTGGAGAGTTTCCGAAGGGTGTGTATTGTTGTTGTTTGCTGATTTAGATATAGCAAACAATTGAGAATAACCAAAACCAATACCATGAGAAAACTCAGTAGCCCGGAAGTCAGTTGGGACCTCACCCTGCTGAGATTTGGCTAAACTGGCTGAGGGTCAGTTAGAGACACCTCCCCATAGTGGTGTCTCTCCTTTCCGGAATTCCTCCAGCAGCTCTTCCCTCCATCCCTGCCAGTGCCTGGGCATCCCTGCCGGGGCCAGCCCTTTGTCCTTCCCACACTCACAGATGTATGCACATAAGCGTCAGGTGTTCGCACTCCATGTGACCCCCAGCCCTTCGTGACATTGGTAACATTATGAAATTGTAAAGGGATTGTGGGAAAAGGGATTCACATCAAACAGCACCAAGAGGCAGCCTCGTTTCTTCCCTTCCTCCCCCCTCTGTGGTATAACATGCACAGTTCTGAACTTCCGTCATGTCTCGAGCTGTTCCACCCACACCCAGGCCTCCACTGGGATCTCAGCTTAAGGCTTAAGCACTTATCAAAATATTGTTCCCAGCAAAGACAGCTTCCTCTTTCTAAGGGAATTTAGGCGAATACAATCTTCTCCCCCTTTTCCAACTCTGTACAGGCTGAACCCATGGCTCTCACCACCAGGTGCAGAGGCAGAGCCTGCTGCTGTCTTCCTCACCTGCATCTACATGGCACCGCCTACTTGTGTGCCAGGCTGCTCCTCAGTGTCTCAGTGTGGGGGTTCCCTGTATTGTCTTGGGACCCTGTTATGATGGCATGAGGATCTGCCACTCTTTCTTTCTTTTTTTTTTTTAGTTGGAGTCTCATTCTGTCACCCAGGCTGGCGTGCCATGGCACACTCACAGCCACCCCAGTGTCGACCTGGGATCCAGTGATCCTTCCATCTCAGCCTTCCAAGTAGCTGGAACTAAAGGCACACACTACCACTCCTGGCTAATTTTTTATTTATTGTAGAGATGAAGTCTTGCCAAGTTTCCTGGGCTGGTCTCGAACCCGCAGGCTCAGGTAGTCCACTCATCTCGGCTTTCCAAAGTGCTGGGATTACAGCTTGAGCCACTGAGCCCAGCCCACTCTTTTTTTATTACTATTATTATTATTTTTAATAGAGACCAGGTCTTGCTATGTTGCCCAGGCTGGTCTTGAACTCCTGGGCTCAAGCAATCCTTCTGCCTCTGGCTCCTAAAGTGCTGGGATTATGTGTGCAGCCAGGTTCTGCCACTATTTACAAAAGTTCTCTGCCACTGTCCAGGCTATCATTACCTCGGCTGTTTTCTTTGTGAGTACTCTGTGCCTGTACCCTCCTAGACATACTCTTCCTTCTCTCCTAAAGTGCATCTTCTCTTTGGTCACCAGCTCCCGGCCCATCATGAATCCTCAGATTCACCTGCTGCCAGGTCATTCACCTCTATATGGTCATGCTGACCTCACCAGCTCCCCTGCTGTCTAGTTCACAACGCCATCTGGTTTCATAACAGGGGCCGACCTCACACCCACTGCCCCGTTTTCCTGATCTGCCTGACATTGACAGCTTGTCACATCTCCCGGCCCACTGGGGTGTCCTCTCAGCATGAGGGGAAGGGCTATTCATCTTCCCTGCTTGGTTTGGGACACTAGAAACACTGTGTCCTTAAAAACCACCAGACTTCTCCAAGATCTTTTTCTGCTTTGTCTTACAAGCATCTCCCCTGGGCTCGCTGTCTGACAGGTCGCATAGCTGTGTGTCTGCAGACACCAGATGCTTTCTGCAGGTGGAGAAGAATCTCATCCTTGACTCTGAGTGCCCTGCCCTCCCCTCGCTCAGGGTCTGTTCTTGCACAGCTCATGCACATGCTGGCACACAGGTACATGCCAAGATACAGATGAGCACGGGCTCACATAGATGCTCAGCGTGCTGGAGGCAGACAGGAGAGCTTTTAATGTGGCATCTGGGAAGGAGATTAGATGAGGTAGGGGAGGAGGAAACATGAATGGGAGGAAGGAGAAAGAAGAATGAGGGGAGGAAAGAGGAAGTATTCTGTGAAGTAAGGCAAGAGGCAGAGCCCCGGGATTTGGCAGAAATGTGGTACTGAGTGGTTCCATGCCCAGCTCTTGGCCCAGCTCTGGATTTGTCTCCTGGGAAACTCTTGGTGGTTGGGTGTGCACTGGCATCCAGGGTCTTGACTAGGTTGTTTCCCAACCTGTGACTGTGTTAACTCTTTCAGTGCCTCAGGGAACTAAAGGAAGGAATGCCAGGAATGCACAGATGAGTCAGCTGAGCCAATTCACAAAAGGTCAATCAAGTCACTCCCTGGAATCCTAACAAGCCAGAAGGATCAAGACAGCCCCAGTCTCTACTCCATCCCTTAGCTAGTGATTTTCAAACTTTAGGGTGTTCAGGTCTCAAAACACATGGGAACTTGTTCCAAATGCAGGTTCCCAGCAGAAGCTTCTAAACAAACACTCTGGGTATTGCTAAATAGTTCCAGAACTTTGAGAAACACTACTTTCCTCCTTCAATCCCTAAACTGTACATTTTTAATAAAATAGAGGTTGTTTATTTTGAAATTTGCGGTTTCATTGCTGAAAGTCACGTCTCATCAACTCACTTTTAGAGCCCCCAGATGTCGTCTGGTCCTTTGCTAGCCAACAGGCAGTGATGGCCATGATTGGTGCCTGGCACATGGCAGGTGTCAGTAACTTCATCTGATCAAAGACATGGATGAATAAGTCACTGACATGCCAGTGTTTCACGTGAAAGCTCCGCAGGTGGGAATAAAAGAAGATATCAAATGCAGGTCAGAGCCAAGTGTCACAAGGTGGGAGGCAAAGGTCAGTGCATCTCTGAGCAGTAAGGAAAAAAGTAGAAAAGATGGAGACTCGAGGTTCCAAATCCCCACTCGTCCCTGTCCCCTCCTTCTTCACGCAGCAGCCACACCTGGCCAGGGACCAGGCATAACAAACAGGGAATGACCCCATTCTCAAAGGAGTCCTGTCCAGTGATTCTCTTTCTCAGGAATGGCACCCATCCTTGCTTCCGTCTTAAAGTTGAGACTCTGGAAAGATGAGGAGGATGTGGGCTGTGAACAGCTGGCTCTGTGAATGATGTTAGGAGCGGGGTTGGATTGCTTTTTGTTTTCTTTGTGAGTTGGAGTCTCACTCTATCGCCCAGGCTGGAGTGCAGTAGCATGCTCATGGCCACTGCAGCCTCAACCTGCTGGGCTCAGGCGCTCCTTCCGCTTCAGCCTTCCAAGTAGCTAGAACTATAGGT